TGATGAAGATCATCCTTTATCGAGTTTGCTGCCTCAACAAGGTCTTCCGCATCATTTGCAGACGCCGAAGACTACAGACCTACACGATCAGAAGAAGAAGACATAAACGCAGCATTTTCCCATGCCTAGCCTTAACTTGCTTGCAAATCTCTCAAGGTTTGGGATGCTCTCAGATTACATTTATCAGTGCAAGAGAAAACACCTGCATTGAAAGTGAAGGAAAACAAACTTGCGTCTTCAACAAAGCTACAAGCAATCAGCTACAAGCTGATTGCTTTACAACCACTACATCAGGAATCCTGCCTAACACTCAAGACTCACCACAACAAGCCAATCGGACTTTTATCCATCAAAGTGAAAGACATCAACTTTCAATGCCACAAAGATGTACAGTTTTACACCAGAGATCATCAATTACTTTCCTAATCCATCCATCGCTGTTATCTCGCTGGAAGTTGCACCGAGCACGCCAGCGAAAACACTACGCCTACTACCAAAATTCAAGAAATTTCAAGATTAGCGAATGAGAGCCCTGGTTACATATTCTGTGCTTCAAGTTCTGGATGCGTCACCTGCGACGGTTGTTTCATGTGCCAACCGAGTTGTCTTTTCTACCGGATTTACGCTCAACCAATGAGCTCCAAAATCTACGAGATCTTCAGGTGTCCCAGCTGGGAAACTGTAGTCGATGCTGAAATAACCTTGGAACAGTCTAGCAGCAGCTCTTCTACTACTCTAACCTTCCGACCAGGACAGACGATTCGATGGAAAAACATCAAGTTCAATCTCATAGGCACCACCACTCCACAATTACCTTTCCTTTCCTCCTTCTTCGTGGCAACGAAAGGACGTACTTCAATCATTCAACCAGCTTACTCAGGACAACTGATCCCTCGAAGCGCTGTTCAACTACAGTGCTCCTCCCTCAGGAAGGCAAAATCCTTTGAATGCGTCTTTTCCACAAGAGCATGCTCGTGCTCAACTGCAGTAAAGACAGCTTCATGTGTGTGTAGCTTTGGAATCATGGCCAAATTGACGAAAAGTTCACCACTTCCGGAAGTCTCCAAAAACTACATCATCTTCATGAAGGGCAAAGACCTATACGCTAAGGCTCGCATTGGCTCTATCTTACAACTACATGTAGTTGCAGATAACAATAAGGTCGTTTCGCAACAAACCAATGCTTCATGTGAAACAACAACCAGCGACGCCGAAGGATGTTACAACTGTAGAACTGGAGCTGAAATAACCTTTTTTGCAAAAGTAACTCCAAAAACACTTTAGCTAATATCTTTTGTTTAGAACAAAACCAGATAGCCTATTGCACCGACGAAGGACATGCCAACAAACTATCGTCCATTCGTTGACTGTACGGACTAGGCATGACCGCGGAGCACGCGCCGCGAGGTAAAACGCTTGCTCCGATACAAACTCGCCATTGTTGAAATCGTGCTCTCGCAACATTTTGACCGCGCCGCGCGTGGTCCGTAGCGTTTGAGCAGTCCGTACGGCCAACGAATCGACGATACGCTTCCACTTTAACACCTCCACTATCGACACAAAATGCAAGATAACATGCCCAGCGAATGTCCAAGAAATCAAGATCCAAGGAAATCTGCAATATATCGAGGACGAATCGATAATCGACGACACGATGGCAAAAGCTATCTCTGAAAACATCTCTAGAGACGTGTCATACCTTAAGATTCTTTCAGAACATCTCTTTAATCCAAAACGACTATTTGATTTTTTTACTTATCCCATCAAGTTCATTTTACTAACGCTTGCCTTCTTTGCACTCGCCTTTATCCTGTGTCACTTCTATGTCGCTTACTCTCGAACAACTTATCGCTATCGCTACGAACGTTATTAGACAATATCTACCTTCTTTTTCGTGGCGAGTTTTTGTAATTCTACAAAATATTGGCTTTAGCTGTAACTGTTCTTAAGCTTTATTGACAGTTCACCTCAGCCTATGAATCAGCTGTACATCCCGCAATCTTGCTAATAGCTTTGCCTGGTGTTTCGTTAATGCTTTGCCATGCTGTCACTTATTAACATTGAAACATTAACCATTTCTCAATGCTTTTACAAGTAGCTAACAGTAGCATCAAGTCTACCAAGCTCTTAACTGTAGCATGAAGAATTGTAATGAGCACTCCTCGCTTCTCGCGGCACTCTTCTCTCGGCACGCATATAAAAGAAGCTGCCGTTTTCTCATGGTGGTTTTGGTACCTATCGAATAAACGTCTACTCACAACTCCTCGTCGTGCAACCAAAACGGTCAATCCCAAACAATCTGATAACATGTCTCTCGTGTAATGAGGTGTATGTTGGGGAAACAGGCGAGCGCTTTCAGTTCGGATCAAGGAGCATCTGGATGGCCTCAGGAAGTCAAAATCCTCAACGCCCTTGGGAGCGCACCGCCAAAGGAGCCACGGCGATGCTATGTGATATTAAGGTCACGATCTTGTCGTACGAACCGGGAACGTAGCTTGCAAAACTCTCGAAGCGTTTTGGATAATTGCAAAAAGCCCAAAATTAAACAGGAAAGAAGAGTGCATAACCGTGACACAAGAGCTCGCATCCTACCAGACCTTATGTAATTTTGATTTAACTCGGTAAGGTTGCGTTGGCGGGCTGCGTTGGCGGGCCCTCGGGCCTTAAATATGCGCAATATTCGCAGTGGCCAATCACTTCCTCTCATACGAGTGGTCTTGGCTCCAGAACCGCTGTATTACGGTGAGCGTTTGCTTTGTCTTTCCTCACATACTGCTTTTGATCTAATTTGATCTCTTAAATTGATCGCTGTGTTTAGATGCGGCGTCTGAGGGGTATGTCACCAGATGGTCTTTGATTTCCAGGCTCCGACGACGAAGGCGAGGACGCCGAAACGTCAGCCATCAATAAAAAGATCATACCATCTTGGCTTAGCTACAGCAAAAAACAATATCGGTTGACACTTCACCTTGCACACCTTCCTTTGAAAATTCTTAGCGACCGCCCCTGTTATCGCGCATCCACCGCGCAATATGCAGCCTTTTACTCAAAGCTCTCCTCCCCTTTGAACAATTTTAACACCTGATGTAACTCTCCTCATCAAAGAAGGTAGGGAACAAAACCACTTGTTCTATTAGACTTAATAATTTCGTAATCAGACTACCGATATCTTGTAAAAACTTGCGGACCAGCTTATGAAGGCTGACAACCAAGAATTGGCCTAGTCTCTACGCTCATACGCCGAATGTCTTTTACTGAAGTCGACGAGGCAACCGAATATAAGGCAAACTTTACCATGACTTGCAGATAGCCAATCAGCAGATCAGTGCTTTAATTATCTCACAAGCAAAACATTTTGTTTTCATTCGGAGCGACCTTCTTTGAATGAATCCTATAGGCTGTACCAACCGGCATCGGTCCGACCAGGGCCCGGCACGAGCTTGTCAAAAGGGGTTTTCGGAAACGAATTCCCCTTTGACCCAAAATCTTTTTACGATTTCCCCTTTGACCCAAAAATTGATCCCAGTGATTCTGCAGTGAACATTTTACTTAAAGAACTATTTTTATTGAAGAAAAAAACAGAAACAATTCATTTATGACAAAAAAACCAAAAAAATGAGATCACATTAGAGATCACTGGAGTGAGGTCAATGAAAATTAATTTGCACCGGCAGCTGGTGGGGGGGGGGGGGGGGGAATTCGTACCATTCATGTGCTCGCAATTTCTGGAACCTCTACCCGGAAAAGAAAAAAAAGGTTTGAAATGGCAGAACAAGGCAAGTGAGAGGCGGACCATTCATGAAACTTTCCAACTCTCCGTCATGTACATCCTTCAGGCTGAGAATTTTAAGCCTTTCATGGCCTCGGCTTTGATTTCGGACAAGTTCGTCCAAGTTCGATTAGACCAACCTGAAGACATAAATGCAAACAAAAAAGTAATCGAAAGGAGAATACTGGAGGAAAAGTTCAAGTAATTAAAGAAAATGAGAAAAAAGCCAATGATATCTCTTTGTTTTCAAAGTTACACAATCTAGAATGAGAAAGAGCGAGAAACTGCCCCAATGTTCGGAGGTTGGTGTTTTGTTCGCAGGTAATAACCCAGGAGTTGATTTCACAGGTGATATAGTGGTGATTTTAACAAACGCGCGTGAAAAATTGATCACTGAGTGCAGATTTGCGACGTTACACCAATGTGCATGAATATGGATTGTATAATTAAAAGTTCCATATACACGTATAGATCAGGTAATGCCCTCCGAATACTTCCCAAAAGCGCTTTCAAGTCTTTGCAAACGGGGCTTTCACGTGTGAACTGATTGTGGGGCCTTGACTACGGCATTACTGGAGCGGCAACGTTAATGTTTCAACCATGGCCAAGAACATCTCCATATGTGTCCCCAGTACATGGCAGCTGGCGGGCGACTTGGCATCGCACAGTGCGAAAGCAGGCAAACCGACCAACGCCCGCCAGAACGGTGCTGGGCAGGGGTCTGGAAATGAAATTTTAGCCCATTACGAATTTTCGGTGTCGCTCTTCGATACTGCACTAGTTAGGGCCCCACAACCAGTTTTCAGGTGAACCTACGTGCAAGTTGCTTGTTTCACGCTACCATCGTCAGTGAAAAAAATCTAGCAAATATAAAACTATTCCTATTACAAGCATGATTTTTGTAACCAAAGATCTGATCACAAACCTGCCACACCGGTTCCCTCACTTTGCGAGCTGGATGCCACAAAGCTTGTAAGCGATACTGGAGAACCTGTAATACTCAACTCATTTCTATAAGAAAGCAAAGCTCAGCCATATTCACAAACCTTGATGGGTCCCAAAGAAACGCGCATTCCTTCACAAGCAAATATATATCGTTGAATGAAATGAGGGGACTTTTCTAACATATTTGGCCATACGTAATTCAACAGATGCAACAACGCGTCTTCACAACCAAACCCATATACACCTGAAGATGTTACATTTATCAGTTAGTGCTATACAGGTAAAGGCGGTTGTCAGCTTACTAGTGAGAGATGCGCAACTGCATCGATAGCAATTTGCCTGTGCACTTGATCTCGCTCCATCATAGCGTCAACAAGGAATGGCGTGACGGCGTAGATGTAGTCTTTAGCCATTTCACCACTATACTAAAATAGAATAACCTAAAAAACAAAAAAAAGCTAAGATGTTTTACTTGAGTCCCTTATTTAATCCCTATATGATAGATTTCTCCTAAAACCCATCGTTTGCGTGGCAACAATGTTTTTTAAAGACAAATAATAAAGTATGATGAAAGGTGGAAAAAAAGAGGATACGAAGCAGCAAATCTACACATAAAAACAACATAAGGCAGAATTCTCAGTCACTCACCTCAAACATGAACGACAAAGCTCTTTAAGACTCCATTCTGCACGTTCATCTCCGGTACTCGGTACTCATTCATAATAGCCGGTAGCACTGTGAATGGTGCACAGGTTTCCGCGACAATGGCGATAGCTACGGTAGTGCAAACATGCAGTTGTCGCTCCTGCACTTTCAAGTTGTTTAACAAAGTCGCCTAGAACGTCATGGAGACCGATGGCCTAGAAGTAAATTTTCTAACCCTTCCAAAAACAGAAAAATTCCAATCAAGATAAGAACGCACCTTCGCAATGAATCCAAAAGTATTGATCGCAGCCCGTCGTATACTCTTTTTAAGTGCTTTAGCAATTCGAAAAGTTCAAAGCAGATACGCATCCATTCACGAGCCGACACAAACTCTGATCCACGATCGGCGATTGCGCCGACGAGGTCAATGCAGTTTTCTTGTACTTTTTCGTGACGATTCTTCAATATGGGCGTCACCCTGTCAGAAGAAATTTTCATTGGACATTCGAGGGGGAGAAATGGAAATCCAAACCTGGGCAAGAGATCTTTGATAGCTGGGGTCATCTTTGTCATTCCAATTACGTTGCAAATGGATTTCAAAGCACCCAAAATTGAACCAAGCACCTAAATCAAAATTAGTGTATATCTGAACATAGAGGCAACAACAATTGATATGGCCAACAAACCAACCAAAACATTATGTATTCTATATCCATGCAAGTGAACTGACAGGGAAATGAATGGATGGATACGATGACATATAGTACACAGAATATTTGTGATTCCAAACAAGACGGACGACGGGTTAGGAAGAGCAAATTAAGACAGGAAAGACATCGTATAGCCGAAATTTTCAATTTGCCTGACGGGTAATGCGGCAAAATGTAGCAAAAATACTTTACTGAATGGAAAAAGTTGAGATCTAGAGAAACGAAGTGACGAAGGAAAGAAAGAGAAAAGTTAGAAAGTAAAAAGCAGCAAAAGGTAAGCGATGAAGTGTAAACGCCGACGCGAAAGCACTCAGCAATACGCCGTTCGATTGGAGCACGCTTTCCTCCTTAGGAAACGGGGCTGCTGAGACTATTTTTGCCTGTAGCAATGAGGAGAGGAGGAGGTTTGGAACCAAATTTTCACTATGTACTAATCTTTAGGCGTAGAGTAGATTTATGTAAATATTTTGGAAAAATTATTGAATTGAGAGTTTTGCCAAGCTCAGCTTGTCATTAGCTTGTCAAATGACAAGCTAATTTGGAAATGAGTTGGGGAAACTTTTCATTCACATAAGTTTTTCATAATTTTTCATACTTTGTTACTTGGTCCTACTGCGCATATACACACCAAATCTCGCGCGATTTCGTCACCTCTGCGTTGCAAACGAGCCATTTTTCCATTTCTTTGGTAGCGGGAAATTTTCAGAAAAAACTTTGCCACAACCTTCAGTCACATAATTTTTCAATGAAACTCCTAAGTTAGCTCCTACAGGCTTGTGTCCACGTGCGTACCAAGTTTCATACCATATCGTCATCTGCGCGTTGCAAACGAGCCATTTTTCCATTTCTTTGTTAGCGGGAAATTTTCAGAAAAAACTTTGCCACAACCTTCAGTCACATAATTTTTCAATGAAACTCCTAAGTTAGCTCCTACAGGCTTGTGTCCACGTGCGTACCAAGTTTCATACCATATCGTCATCTGCGCGTTGCAAACGAGCCATTTTTCCATTTCTTTGTTAGCGGGAAATTTTCAGAAAAAACTTTGCCACAACCTTCAGTCACATAATTTTTCAATGAAACTCCTAAGTTAGCTCCTACAGGCTTGTGTCCACGTGCGTACCAAGTTTCATACCATATCGTCATCTGCGCGTTGCAAACGAGCCATTTGAATTTACAAGTTCATTTACCAATTTTGCAAAATCTTTGGAAAAAATGCTTATTACTCGTCCCGTTCACATAAGTTTTTCATAATTTTTCATACTTTGTTTCCACTGGCCTCTCTCCGTTCGCCTACAAAATCTGGTGTCATGCCGTGACGCGTACATTGAGAACTAGTTATGTATGCCGTTACAAATAGCTCGTTTGAGCGACGTCGCGCGTGCGGCAATTAGCGACGGCGCGGTTTGACGCGCGCGAACTCCAGTCTTCGCATGTTGAGGCACATAACATGTTAAAATAAGCAGAGAACGTGCACTACCAATTTTTTTTCCGGGGCTCCGCCCCGGACCCCGCGAAAACGGTTTCCCCTTTGCTTTTTTTGCCGAAAACGATTTCCAGCTTGTCATTTGACAAGCTGGTGCCGGGCCCTGGGTCCGACCGGCATTCCTTGCGAGAACGCGGTCGCATGCGACGTGCCTTTCCGTGTAACAGTGTTTGCATGCGTCAAACCGCACCATCGGAAGTGGCCGCAGGCGCGACGTCGCATGACCGATGCTGGTCGGTAAAGGCTACTGCATGACGAAGGCTCCGAAGCAGTATTAGCTGAGCGGGCGCGAACGTGGCGCGCGCGTAATAACTTCGCCGTTATAAATCCTGCGCCTCATGCGCTCTGCGGTTAATAAAGCCGCGTTCGCGCCCTAAGATTTTGCGCCTTCGTCATGCAGTAGCCTCTACAGCTTATATACATCAGGTCGTTCTATAAGTTCGTAGCGTCTTCATTCCCGTCCTAATTTCTCTAGAAAGCGGTTGGTCTGCGGCAAGTTGCGTATAACACTTTGAAAAAGCTAATCATGTTCTTCATAATGAATCTATTGATTTCTTTGGAAAGCTGATCCACTTCAATTTTTCAGCTAGCAAATGTGGACTTCTCAAAAGACAAAAAAAGCTTTTTCGACATTGCCCACTTTTTTTTATAAAGAAGTGTTTTTGCATAGTTTTTTGCTTGTGAAAAATGGCGTTTTCTACTTAGTACAAGACAAGAGGAGTTGCTTAAAAGAAATTAGGAGTTTACGGAGTGTTTCCTGAACAAGACTTTTTTCAGGACGAGCATGATGTTCTGCACTGAAAATTGTTAGACAGAAACAAAACAGTCGATCACACCATACGCAACTCACTCCCATTCGGATCCCTACTGCAAAAATGACTCAAAAGACAGGTCCAGTAAGCTTCCGTAAGGCAAACGTCGTCAAGACTGTCTTGCAAAACTGGACTCGGAGACGTATTAGTATCCGATGTACCCCCTCAGACCTCGCCCTACCAGGCTTGCCCGCTTTTTTGCAAACTATATGAACGATGCTCGTTCCAATTCTGAAGACGATCTCAAGCGCTGGTTCGACGACTTTTTTGGGGTTGCTTAGTTTGCTATAATTGCTTAGTTTCGGAGAAACGAAAAACGAAAATATTACGGCAAGGTGGCAGAATATTTTGCACAATAACGGAGAACGCAACAATAAACGAATCTTGACAAAATTTTGTCATTTCGTAGGTTTCTGAAAACGCTACAAACTTTTGGAACGGTTTAATAAATCTTCAAAGCAAGCCCGTAATAAACTCCGGATGTTGTGACGTATAGCTCGGAGCCTGCTGTGAAATGCGCTGACTGTCGTGCGGTGCGATCAATGCAGAGTGCCAAAGTAGTGCACTTTGTCGCTATATGTCGCAAAATATCGCGACACATAGCGACACTTGTGACAAGTCGTGAGCGAGAAGGCGAGATACTTTGGCCAATATGGAGACAGAGACATAGCGCGAGACAGGAGCTCGACTACGCCAACCTCGTGATAGGTCGCACATGCTCACAGTTTTCTCTTACGCACGTCAGGTGCAATCAATATCAACGGCTGATAAGCGTTCAACTGCCTAAACATGTCTCAACCCATTTTTTAAATATTCCTGTTGCTTGCTCTATTATACAGAAAAGGTGAATTTGTTTTTTCTGAAAAGTGCATTGGACTTGTACTTGGGCATATTAACTTAGTGCGTATGTTATTTTTCTTTTTTATTCACACGCAGAGGTGCGATAATGGGAGCCAATTCTACCCCTACCTTCACTTTTGAGCTGGTACAGGGTGATCTTCACTTTTTGAAATAAAAATTTTCTCGCTAAACGATAAAGAAATAAGCAAAACAAACGCAAAAAAGGTTGTTGAAAGCATATTTTTGTGTATACGGCGGCATATTTATTTGAAATAAAAGTGTTTAGTAAATGGTGTATGTGGAAGTAAAACTTCGCGGGACTATACGGATTTTATTAAGTAAATTTTGTCATAACGTACTGCGAAGAAAGTAGGTCGATCCAGGGAATAACCGCCGAGAAACAGAATTTTGAATAATAAAATAACGATAAATTATGCTAAATTTTCACATTTATAAATCTTGCGTTTGAAGATGTCAGCAGTTGTGACTTTATAGGTTTTGAAGTGTAAATGGTGCTCTATCAGATAGTAAAAAAATCGAGTCAATTTGAGAGATAGTCGCCGATAACCAGAATTTTAAAAAATTACGCCATTTTAGCGTGCTCAATGACAGCTGACAAACTCATATAAATCTTGAACGTAAAAGTGTGTGATGTTATGACTTCATAGGCTTTGTAGAATAAGGTCTGCCTTGTTAGAATATATCTTAGCCGTACCGACCCATATAAACCATTATATGTCGGATTCGGACGGTGGCACTAGACACCGTACTCCATGCGCGCGCCGGGACCACCCGAGCTTGACATGAGCTCGGCATGAAGCCAACTGCACACCGCGATGCCTTCTTGCTACCATGTAGATAATTCTTCGCGTCAGGCGTCGAACTTCATAGTTTTCTTTCCTTCAGGGACGTTTTTGTTTGCCTTGCCTACTATGTACCACCATGGATTGTGTACGCGAACGTTTTCTTCGTTCCATATGAATTTACTACATTGTACTCAGTTTTTTTATTTACAGCTGTCGATTTCTTCCATCGGATCGACGATGCGCGGTGTTGTTGCTGAAGTTTGCACAAAGCAGTCCTGTCCTACAATGCCTGGAAGTTCAAGTTGATTTCAAATCCTCATATCATCATATTCATGGGGTAACATTTTCCTTCATCAGAATTTTTTCATGAAACCTTTTTGAACTATGTATGGAAATTTTGAAGAGAAAAACAAAAACCCTTCTTGTTCCCTGCGTTGTGAGTTTTTTGCAATTGGGGTTGTACTGGTGGAGCATGAACTTTGCGAGCCATAGGAAACTAGTTCTAGTTTGAAACTCAAACAAGCGGTGAAACCTGAGTGAATTCGAAATCTGCATTCAGTTCCTTAAATGTGGCGCTTCAGTAGTTTTCTGGCATTTAAGTTCACCTTAATAGCTCATGGGGAAGCTAAGCTGAGAGCGTTGACAATGAGTGCAATAAGTTGTTTTAGAGGTTCATCTAGAAACCACCTTATTTTGTTATTTTTATAAATGTTAAGTACCCTCTGATTCAACAGGATTGGCAGCTGGTGGGTGGGTCTCACGCCCTCGCGGCCGCCTCGCCTGGCTTTCTACCTCTTTCGTGCTCTCTAGTCATTGATGCCGCCTTTCCCACGCTCGTGATGGAATGTAATTAGAGAGCACATTACAAAAGAGGTGCAGAGCCCAAGCAACGTTCCCTGCAGCCGCCAATCCTCTTGAAGAGGATAGTCTAGCAGCGAGGTTTTTGAAAGACGTTTGTACAAACTGTATCAGACGGAGAAACCCCTCAACACATCGTCACTATAGAAGAAGCTTACACCTTACGATGCATCAGTAAAAAAATTTACG